GGTTTGTTGGCCCGGGCTTGGGTGGTGCAGGTGCGCCCTAAACCTCCCCTAAAGTTTGGGAACTCCCCAGGACCCGCGCGTCGTGTATCGCCACCAGGCGGACGGAGGCCAAGAATGGCCGGTGGGTCTGTGCCGTGGCTGGGTTTTAAAGGGGTGTTAGGGTTTAGGGTTGAGGGTTTAGGGCGGGGAGGTTCAGGGTTTACCTACTGGTTCTTAATAGGGACTGAGCAAGTTTGGTACCTTCTATCCCTTCGAGCAAGGCTTTCGGGTTTGAGCCAGATTTGTTCTTTGGCCAGCGCCTCCTTTCTTTTCAAGAGCCGTAGATGTCGGTTGGGAGTGCCAGGTTTGAAGACAGGAGTTGGGGTGTAGAAGGGTTTAGGGTTTAGGGCTCTTGGGGTTTTCGGCCGCCCCTTTTGGGCCTGGAGGGGTTTGATGGCCACCGGGTGCGGGTTTCTGGGCATCTTCTGGTTCCAGATCTCTTGTCAGGTACCTAGATCATCCCTTAACACAGGTATTCACATATGTATATACATATATGCTCACCCCCCCCCAATGGACCAACCGCGAAATGAAAAGGACAGGAAAACCTAGTTGTTTTTGTCGTGCTTTGTGTTTTCTTGCGTGTTTTGCCTTATTTCTTGTGCTTTTTGTGCATTTCGTGCATTGTTGCACTTTTCTGGTGTTTTTGCACTTTTGCACTTTTGCACTTGTTTTGTTTTTTTGCACGTTTGCACTTTTTTGGCTTTTTACACTTTTTTTGGCTTTTCGCACTTTAGCACCTTTTTTTGGTTTTTTTTGCATTATTTTCATATACTGTGTTTTTTTTCTATGCTTGTCTTATGCATAGAAATCCAAAAATCCAAAAATCCAAAGTTCTCCGGACAATCTCCCAGGAAACTTTGGATTTTTGGATTTTTGGATTTCTGATGATTTTTATGATTTTTCACATTCGAGGTTGGCTCATACTCGTTCTCCTTTTTTTGAATGAAAGGAGGGCGACCATTCAAATGTACCCTTATCAGAATTTTAAATGCGTCCTACCTACTCGAAACGTGAACACTACATTCATCGCACAACTAAATAGCATATTCAATAAGATTTTCAATATGATGTTTCTGTATATGAGGACCAGGTAAAGTCTTGCCTATTCAAATCACTGAGAAAAGCACGTACATGGGTTATGCACAGGCCTTTGCCAAGGAGAAGGCCTATATGTGCAAATATCGACTTTTGCATTTGAAAGAAGCTGAAATATCCCTTTTTCAATAAGAACCATTCTGGGATCACAGTACCTGCTGTTTAAGAAAAAGTCTATATCTCATGAACACCCTTTCTTTGCGATAACGATTTAGTTCTTCTGATCTTTTAATTCAAGCTCTTAATATTGCATTGCCCCCTGTGATTCTTGCAGCAAAGCCTGCTCGAATCGCATCAACGTCTTAGCTACTCGATTGAAAACTGTATCAAAAAAATCTAAGTAGCCTTTTCAAGAAGCCAATAAGGTTTTGAAAACATCCTACTCGAAAAGCCAACAAGAGGTTGAGCAGAAGAATTCAAGACAGTAATAGGGCTTGGGTCCAATACAGGGCTAGTGAACTGTCCCAATGGACCAACCGCGAAATGGAAAAGAAGTCCAAAAGTCCAAAAGTCCAAATATCCAAAAATCCAAAGTTTCCTGGGAGATTGTCCGGAGAACTTTGGATTTTTGGATTTTTGGACTTTTGGCTTTTTAGATTTTTGGGTTTTGTGCTTTTTCAATGTTATTTGTGTTTTTTTCATTCTTTTTCGTGCGTTTTTGCAATTTTTGCACTTTTTGCACTCTTTGCACTTCTTGCACTTTTTGCACTTTTTTGCACTTTTTGCACTTTTTTTGCACTTTTTTGCACTTTTTTTTGCACTTTTTTTGCACTTTTTGCACTTGTTTGCACTTTTGCACTTTTTTTGTACTTTTTGCACTTTTTTGTGATTTTTGCACTTTTTGGTGCTTTTTTAATTTCGCAACATTTTGGCAAATATTTGTCCTTTTGAATGTGCTTTTCCAATCCAAAAAATCCAAAAATCCAAAAATCCAAAGTTTCCTGGGAGATTGTCCGGAGAACTTTGGGTTTTTGGGTTTTTGGATTTTTGGACTTTTGGGTTTTTGGACTTTTTGGATTGGAAAAGCACATTCAAGATGACAAGTATTTGCAAAAATGTTGCGCAATTAGAAAAAAAGCACCAAAAAGTGCAAAAAGTACAAAAAAGTGCAACAAGTGCAAAAAAATGCAAAAAAGTGCAACAAGTACACAACGTGCAAAAAAAAACAGAACAAAGCACAAAAGAACACACAAAGCACAAAAAAGCACGAAAAACATCACAACAAATGCACAGGAAGCACAAAAAGCACAAAGAAGTGGACAGGGAAAGCATGGCAGGGTACAGTGTCTCGAGAACCTTGGACATGTCGATGTGGGTCCATTGGGGTTAGAGGTTGGTCTATTGGGGGGGGCGACCACATATATATACAGACATACTTTTGCTTATTAGCAGGGCTTAAGTTTAGGGCTTAGGATTTAGGATGATCTGGGGTTTAGGCCGAGGGTTTCGGCGGGATGTAATGTTCATGCGAACGGCGACATCCTGCGCGAAGTTGCGGGGCGGGCTAGCATCGGGTTCGATGGGAAGCTGATCATGCAAGGGCCTTTGCGGTTTAGGGTTTGGGGTTTAGGGTCTTTGAGAGCTTTGCGGGCGGAGATTGCTGCAGAGGCCTCGGGCTCCGTAAATCCGATTCTCTAGCGGCTGCAGGGCAGAGCCCGGAGCTTAGTGGTAATTACCCTTTCCCTTTGTTGTTCAAGATTCTGTTATAAAGTAACTATCCCAAAAAAGGGTACCCTTTTATGATATGGGTACTGGGCTACCAAGCATTGCAAAAGCGGTTGCGCAAGGAAACGAAACATTGCGATTGCCTGCTCTTCGGGTGCGACGATCGCGCACTTTGACGATGATGCCGCCTGGATGGAGGGATTTAGACTTGTGTTTTGGGTTGTTCCCCCTTAAACTAGCAGTCCATAATAGGGACTCTATTAGGGGGGTACGATAATCCCGACTAAGGACTGTTAGTATAAGGGTGAACATCCCAACTTGTGTTCTTAATTTTGGAGGCTTTGTACTGGCTTCTGCTACCTTGCACTTTCGCGCAAACACGCATGTCGAGCTGTCAATTCAGAATAGGGGTCAGGTTCATGAGAGCAGGATGCAAGGCTTTAGGGACATCAGGCGACTTCGCGCGCATCCTGATGAGTAGAGGGCTGTTACGGCAGCATTTCCGCCAAAAGTTTTGTCCTGGATTCCAAGATCCTGCAAGTGCGTTCAAACGGCCCCAGCTCAAAAGTCTCCCTGTCAACCACACCAGCACCACAACGACCACCCCACAGTTACAATAATGATGTAGCAGCTCAGAACCGCGACAGTGCCAGCAGAAGCAATACCGGGCAGAGCCGCCACCAGAACCGGGTTTTTGAAAACAGAACCCTAAAACCAGCCCGGAGCCCTATAAGCCCTAAACGCAGAGGGATTGCGAGCTGCAGTGGTAGAGGACCTCTACGCGCCGACTTACCTGACGAGGATGGTGGCGTCCATGGGAGGCCCTGGGTTGGTTTAGGGTTTAGGGTTTAGGGTTTAGGGTTTAGGGTTTCGGGTTTGCAGAGAGTGCCCAGAGTTGTTGCTGTAGTTCTTAAGGGTTAGGGTTTAGGGCTTCATAGGTTTTTAAGATTCTAGGGTTTAGGGGTTAGGGTTTGATAGTGTTTAAGGTTTCAGGGTTTAGGGTTTAGGTTTTATATAGGGCCTATGGGGTGAGTGGGGGGGAGGGGGATTGGAGGGCTGATTATCTTCCTAGGCCATCCCCGGATATTTTAATGTCTTCTCTTGGCTTTAGGAGCATCATGCGTAGAAGAATATGTGAAAATCGGCCAACCTCGCTTCTTGAGGGCTTGAGTACGGGTCTATGTGTTCTACAAGCCGCTACCCTCTGCGCAACTCCTGCAGGTTGTAGCAGTAATCATACTGATGGGTTACAGCAAGGTGCCGCGTACCTCGTGTCGAGGTGAGAGTTTCGGGCGTACGCCTTCAGGATTCGTGTAGATTCGTTTTGCCCCCCTTGCTGCGCAGCACGATGCATCGGCACAGCGGGCTTTAACACAGCATTCATCATCCTGCATTTACTGAGCTGGCCCAACGAGGAGTTGGGGAACATGCTGGTCACAGTATCGGGAGTCGGGGGAGCCCTGTGCGCCCAAACCAGTTCAGCCAATTAGTGTGGCCGGCGTGTGGCCCCTGCCTTTGGCCACGAATCCTGAACCCTGATTGAGAAGCTTCTGTGGCATCGTGACAGCTCTTTGTGTTGTGGCAAGTCGATCCCCAGATGGCTGGTCCGAACCGGTGGACCGCAGCCGGCTTCGCAGCAGTCATGCAACTCATTCATGCGGAAACCGTCTCTACATCCATTCGTCCAACGCATGCCACCCCGTGCCAGTTCGGTCGACCCGTGCACAGAGCCAACATGTTCAGCTTCAAACCGGATCCAAGTCGAAGGAAACGTGTTCCGAACTTGCGGCTCGCGGAGAATCCATGTGCGTCCATCCTTGAATCAGATCTCTTTATCAATCCGGTTGCTTCCTCGCAGAACAATACCCTAAACTTCCGCGAGCCCCAAACCCCAAACCCCAAACCCAATAAACCCCAAACCCTAAACCCAAATCCTATACATCCCAACCCTCAACCCTCAACCCTATAAACCCACAACCCTAAAAACCCTCAACTCTATAAACCCACAACCCTAAACCAACAACCCTATAAAGCCTCAACCCTATAAAAGAAACAAAAAACAAAAAACAACCCTTCCCCGAGACCCTTGTTAGGTGCCGACGCTGCGACCCTGGCGAGCTGGTTTGTCGGGGATGCGTGCACTGGGCTGGTCCTCCCGGCCATGCTTGCAGATGGCAGAATAGCCCTAAACCCTAAACCCTAGACCCTAGACCCTAGACTCTAGACCCTAAACCCTAAACCCTAAACCCTAAACCCTTTCTAGACCCTAAACCCTACACCCTAAACCCTAAACCCTAAACCCTAAACCCTAAACCCTAAACCCTAAACCCTAAACCCTAAACCCTAAACCCTAAACCCTAAACCCTAAACCCTAAACCCAACCCCGAACCCCAGGGCTGAGGGAGATCGGGAGACCTGGGTGCTTAGAGGTTGTGTGTGTGTCAAATCTCGTCGATTAGACCTTTGTCCCAAAGCTTTAAGGACAGGGTTTAGGGTTTAGGGTTTAGGGTTTAGGGTTTAGGGTTTAGGGTTTAGGGTTTAGGGTTTAGGGTTTAGGGTTTAGGGTTTAGGGTTTAGGGCTTCAAAGGGCCTATAGTTCACCCCCACAGGATGGTTTTCCATAAGCCCGAAACCCTAAACCCAACAAAGGGTTTTGGGGTTAAAAAACAATCACTTCCCCAGCTGACTTCAGGAGCCTGCATCACAAACACAGGCCGGCCTTGAATCGTCGCCCTAAACCCTAAACCCTAAACCCTAAACCCTAAACCCTAAACCCTAAACCCTAAACCCTAAACCCTAAACTTGAGGAAGACTCCAATAAGCCACCCTAAACTTATGGGGTTCTTAAGGGAGAGGGGCTCAAGGGGGTCGTGCAACCCAAGGTTCCCTAAATGCTCCCCACTACTCCCTAAGGCTCCGAACCCCAAGGTAAACGTTTAGGGTTTAGGGTTTAGGGTTTAGGGTTTAGGGTTTAGGGTTTAGGGTTTAGGGTTAACCCTATAAGCCCCCCAACCGATGTTGCCTGGTTCTTCTTCTCATTGTGCATCATGAAAAGTACCCGGGGGGGGATCCTCCTGTGGAGGAAGCTCCAGGTAGCGCGAGCTGTACCTGCAGATGACGGATCGCAGGAGCAGGGTGACTTAGGGGGAGGGCGTCGGGGGAGTCGAAGGGCGGTTGTACGGGCCCTTAATATGGTCCCTTGCCTCCTTTGAAAGGGTTCTGACGTATGGGCCGTTGAAATGTATAGTGTATATGGGGGGTACATAAGGGGTCCGCTTTCAAGGGCCCCTACTAAGACTAAGAGACCATGCAACTAACCCAAAGAGGGAGGTCCAGGGTTGATAAGTTCCTAGGGTTTGCATCTAATTTGGGGTGTAAGGATTGCGTTCTTGAGGAGGTTCACGCTGCAGTAGCCTGATGACTGCAGATTGAGAGCCCTAATAACCTCAAACTTGGGATGTTCCCCCTCAGAAGAACAGCCCTTAACAGGGATCATAGTGCCCCCTAGTAGAATCCCTACTAAGGACCCGAAACCCTAAACCCTAAACCCTAATAGTTAGAAGCTGGAGCATCCCAACCTCAAACCTCAAAGCTGGGCCGCTCTTGCTTGGGATGCTTTTCTTCCGGCTGGGACTTGGGCTGCGATGCGTTGCGCTTGCCTGCCCATTTAGAAGGTTTGGGGGTCTAGGAAGCCAGGTGTCAAAAGGGAGCCATGGTTTAGGGTTTAGGGTTTAGGGTTCAGGGTTTAGGGTTTAGGGTTTAGGGTTTAGGGTTTAGGGTGGCGAGCAGGGCCTTCATGATGATCGAACTCCAAGCCCCAGTCCATGACCCTCAGTGTGCAAGTTGCTTGACGCGGTTGTAGATGGACACAGGGTCCGGATTGGCTCAAGTTCTTGCAGTAGCGCTCCGCAATCAGCCCTCCCCTTCGTGACACAGCGGAGCAAGATCCGCCTCCAGACCGGAAATGTTTGGCGCTGTGCTGTCGGCGTTAGCCCGGTGGTTCCTTCCTGTGCGCAAGCAGAATCTGAAGAAGCCTGCTACCGCCGCTGATAGACGGAAGACCTCGCTGCCAGAGGCGCCTGTAAAGCAGAAAGATGTTGGCAGGGACGACGAGGGGCAATCCACCGTCGCAGATGCAGCAGAGAGTCCCAGACAAGCTCATGAGCTGCCCCAGAGATCTGTTCCAGCAGAACAGGATGAACGGCCGGGGCCGCTGGGTGAGTCACTGCCAGCAGAGGTCAGACATCGTCAGCTTGAGCCAGCTGCGGCGTCCACGCCAGCCGGTCAAGCCCAGCAGGAGAGCGAGGAGCCATCGGCGGCTTCGGGCTCCGTGGCAGCGCGAGCGGCAGACCTGCCAGCGCAGGAGCCGCCTGCGCCGCTGCCCGCGCAGCAAATGGAACCAGCTCAGGCCACCGGCCAGAAGCCGGCACCGTCTTCTCCGGAGGAGCCCCTGGCTCCCCACAGCGCGCTGCAAGAGCTTGCAGCAGAGCCTGCAGTGGCATCCGGTGAGGCGAGAACAGACAAGAAGCCAGACGATGTGTTCGAGGCAACCAGGACAGCCAGCCAGCCAAAGAAGCGGGAGAGGTCCCAGGAGGCCAGCAGCAAGTCCGCCACTCTGCAGAAGAAGCTGGATGAAGCTAAGGCTACAGATGCCAGGGCCAGCAAGACAGCCATCCTTCAAAAGAAGCTGGATGAGGCCCGCAAGTCTTCGACCCCGAAAGCAGCGGAAGAGGCCCGAACGCCCAAGAAGACACGGGACAATGACAAGACCTCGAAGAAGAACCCAGTCCCCACCCCAAGCGCTAAACCCTAGCCATCAACCATATGTGTGGTTCCGTTGAGGGGTCAGCTAGGCGAGTAGCCCTAAACCCTAGAACCCCCCCCCCCCCAAAAAAAAAAAAAAAAGCGCCCGAAACCCCTCGACCGACAGCTTCGAAAGCCTCGCCAGGCCCTCGGCAGCTCTCGACACATGCAGCATCGGGACCTCCAGGGGATTTCAGGGTTTTGGGAGTTTAGGGTTTTAGGTTTCTTGGGTTTCTTGGGTTCTAGGGCTTTTGGGGTTCTTAGGGTTTTAAGGGTTTCGGGATGCCTGGCAAGACTCCCCAGAGCCCTGGATGCAAAAAAGGGTTTATCCTAGGTAGGATAAGGGTGACCCTTAAAAGGGAACCCCTTCTGTACCCTCTTCTGGCTCTCTTAAACAGGGACCTTATTCAGAGGGTCTACATCCCCAAGGGTCCCCCTAATCCTATCCCCGAGTTTACTAGTTAGGGTTGTTGGGTTGAGGGGTTAGGGGTATTACCTGGGATGTTTCCCCCTTGCACTAACAGTCCTTCATAGGGATTAGAGTACCTCCCTATTTGAATCCCTAACCCTAAACCCTAAACCCTAAACCCTAAACCCTAACCCTATTCAGGACAGTTAGTATTAGGGGAGCATCCCCATCCCAAGGCATTTCGGTCGAAAGTCTCCTTCGGAATCATGTTTGATTTTGTACAAAACTAAAGGGAATGCTGTAACTTGGTCTTAGGGTTTAGGGTTTAGGGTTTAGGGTTTAGGGTTTCCGGTTTTAGGGTTGTAAGGAGAGGATAAGCTGGAGATGCTTGAGGCCTCCAGGAAACTTGTGACGATAGCGCGTCTTCCACCTCGAGCGCTTGACACCTCACAACAAGGTTTTTGACTACGTGGACACGCTAAACCCTAAAAACCCCAAAACCCTAAACCCCTAAAACCCTAAACCCCTAAAACCCTAAAACCCTAAAACCCTGCCTAAAACCCTAAAACCCTAAAACCCTAAAACCCTAAACCAGGGGAACCTTGTGCAGGAAAGCAGGCCGAGCCACTCCGCGGTACCAGTGCCAGGCACGCATGGTGCAGGAGGGCCCAAGGTTTTTGGTTCAACCCCCCCCATCCCTTCATACGAATCTGAAACCCCTCCTACTACAGGAAATTATTTTGCCGGACCCCTCTTGGGACTGAAGGGTGCCTTTTTAAAATCAGTAAGATATTAGAGGGTTCCAAACCACGGCTCATCTAAATTCAAATGAGATTCAACACTGCACATTCAGGCCTCCGGGCTACATTTTCCCAAAGCCCGAAAGCCCCCGAATAGAAGAGATTCTGGCCCCTAACAAACTCAAGTTTCCAGTCCAGCTTCAAAAGAGTTTGTGGTGTTTAGGATGTCTCAGATGCAGGAACGCCTGAAGAACAGGATGAAGCACGGCAGAGCAAGGAGCCTTCAGCGGCTTCGGGCTCCATGGCAGGGCGAGCGGCAGACCTGCCAGCGCAGGAGCCGCATGCGCCACTGCCCGCGAAGCAAATGGAACCAGCTCAGGCCACCGGCCAGAAGCCGGCACCATCTTCTCCGCAGGAGCCTCCCGCTCCTCACAGCGCGCTGCAAGAGCTTGCAGCAGAGCCTGTAGTGGCATCCGGTGAGGCGAGAACAGACAAGAAGCCAGACGATGTGTTCGAGGCAACCAGGACAGCCAGCCAGCCAAAGAAGCGGGAGAGGTCCCAGGAGGCCAGCAGCAAGTCCGCCACTCTGCAGAAGAAGTTGGATGAAGCTAAGGCTACAGATGCCAAGGCCAGCAAGACAGCCATCCTGCAAAAGAAGCTGGATGAGGCCCGCAAGTCTTCGACCCCGAAAGCAGCGGAAGAGGCCCGAACGCCCGAGAAGAAACGGGACAATGACAAGACCTCGAAGAGCCCGGGAGAGTCGCACCAGGAGGTGGGAGAAGCTTCCTCGTTGAAGAGGCCGACGGCTGCGCCAGATGCAGGCACACCTGACAAGCTGGACCGCATGCAGGGCGCAGTGTCGGACTTGATGGAGATGCAAGAAGCCGCCAAGCTTCGGCGGCAGAGAGTCCTGGAGAAGGCGAAGGGCGCGAAGGTGCAAGACGACAGAGCAGGAAAAACGCCCAAGAAGGGCAAAGCAGCTGAAGAACCGGAGGAGGCAGCCTACGAGGCAGAGGCGAGAACCCCCAAGAAGAAACGAGACAACGACAAGACCGCCAGGAGCCCGGAGGAGTTGCGGGAGGCGGTGAGAGCTTCCTTGCTGAAGAGGCCGAAGAGAGCGCCGGACCAAGATGCGCCAGACACTCGGTAGCCCAGGGAGTACCCCTTTCCCTTTTTTTTTGGGTTCAAGGTTCCCATTTTAAAAGTAACCACGCCCAGAAAAAGGTTGCCCTTATTATGATATGGTTCCCGCCCTAAACCCTAAACCCTAAACCCTAAACCGAGGCCACCGAGGACAAGGCGGAATCCCAGCCTGCAGATCGCAAGGAAGGCCTGCTACTTGGTAGCTGGGTGGTACCCGTTTGCCCTTTTTGGCGTTCGGGTTCCCTCATCTAAGTGGGTTTAGGGTTTAGGGTTTATAGGGTTTATAGGGTTTAGGGTTTAGGGTTTACCAAAAGGTTACCCTTATTAGAATATGGTTGCTGGGCTACCGAGGCTAAAGCGGAGCGCTCGCCCCAAGGCTTCGAGCAAGACTGGGTCGGAGAGCACCGCTGAGCCCTTCAACGTTTTCCGAGCGAAGGTGTCTGTTTCCGAGAATAGGGGTACCTCATTTGGGGGTCCTTATATCATAAGGGAATCCTACTTTTAATTCTTGGGGTCCTTGTCATAAGTGAATCCTACTATATTTGGCAATTTTGGGGACCCGATTATAGGAGTACCTTCTACTTTCGTAAACCCCCAGGATGGTGCAGACGCCCTCCTGAAGCCCGTCGCAATGGAGCCCGCGAGCGAGAGCGAGTCGGAGCGCGGCGAGGCGCGCGGTTCGGAGCACAGGGACCGGCACTTGCTCGCGCAGCCCGTTCGGGCGGCGAGGCGCTCAAGCGAGTCGGAGGAGGAGGTGGCTCCTGACGCAAAGCTGCGGACGCCCAAAAAGCACAAGAAGCGAAGGAAGAGCGCCAAAGGCAAAGGCGCTGTGCCGACAGCCGCGCCGGCTCAGTCGGAACAGAATGAACAGAGCACCTTACTTCGCCTTTAGTTGAACTTTAAACTTTTTGGGTTTCCTTGTTTAGTAGGAATATCAAAGTTTAACCATTTTTCCCCTTGGTTGTTGGAGAAAGTAAGGCACTCCGAGCACGCCGCTCAGCACGACGCCGAGCACGCCCGTTTCGGAGGAGGCCCCGCCCAGGGCCAAGAAGGATCGCCGAAAGCGCCCGAAGGCGGCGGAGAAAGCGGAGACGGAGCGGACGCCGAAGGGCAAGCGGAAGACACCAAAGCGTGACATTCCCGACTTTGCGGCCGAAGCAGAGATCGGTCACGAGGCGAAGGATGCGGAAGACATCGAAACTAGGCTAAACTAGGTAGGCCCGCTGGAACATTTTACATTTCCCCTTGTTGGGTTTGAAGAGAACCCTTATTTAGGGATGTTCTCTTCAGAGTTCTTATTTTTGGGGAGGGGTTTACGAGAATAGGGGACCTCAATATAGACTTCAAATAGTACGTAGGATCCCCTTAGAGGACCCCAATCAGGCACCCCCTGTTTTCCTAACCCCCCTTTTGGGCAAACCAAACCCTGAACCCTAAACCCTGAACCCTAAACCATAAACCCTGAACCCTAAACCCTAAACCCCAAACCCCAAACCCCAAACCCTAAACCCTAAACCCTAAACCCTAAACCCTAAACCCTAAACCCTAAACCCTAAACCCTAACCTAGGAGAACATCATGTCCGTGAGTTCCGGAAGTGACCACACGGACTACGGCGTGATCGAGTGCAGCTTCGTCTCCGAGAACGACGCGGCCCTGGGTCTCTAGGTCGAAAAAGTAGGGTTTAGGGTTTAGGGTTTAGGGTTTAGGGCTTAGGGCTTAGGGCTTAGGGCTTAGGGCTTAGGGTTTAGGATTTAGGGTTGAGGGGTTTAGGGTTTGGAGGGTTTCTAGGGTTATAGGGTCTATAGGGTTTACAGGGTTTATAGGGTTGATAGGGTTGCGACCCTCGGCTTCTGGGTAGGCCCTTGGGGGATCTTTTCTTTTCCCTTTTTGGTTTCAACCCTAAACCCTAAACCCTAAACCCCAAACCCTAAACCCTAAACCCTAAACCCTAAGGGGATCATATTTAGGAATATTATTATTCAGAGGGTTTTATTGGGGCCTGCCCAGGCTTGCGCCGCCGGATCCAGCGCCACAAGACGCGCGCGCTGGAGGAGGCGACGAAGGAGGAGAAGAAGGCCACTTAGGGGCTGGGCAGTTATAACCTTTTTAACCTTCTTTTTTGGCTATGCATATATATATAGAGAGATATATATTTACATATATATATATGGTCTATATATATATATATAGACAGAATCCTACTGCAAAAAAAATAACCGTTTTTTGGGCTAGGGTATTCAGCCCCTCAGGCCAGGAAGAAGGCCAAGAAAGCAGCGAAGAGGGCTCTGAAGGCCAAGAAGAAGGCAGAGTCGGCCGAGGCAGCTGCGGGCTGCAGGCAGGGTTTAGGGTTTAGGGTTTGGGGTTTGGGGTTTAGGGTTTGGGGTTTAGGGTTTAGGGTTTAGGGTTTAGGGTTTGGGGCTTAGGGTTTAGGGTTTCGGGTGCAGGCACGAAGATGATGACCCGATGTGGGCCAAACTCAAGGAGCTCTCGCAACTGGGTCATTGTGGAAAATCATGTTTACAGCCTTTCCTTCTATTTTAAGAATACTTAAAACCCAATAAGGAACAACAACAATGATCACGTTTTCATAGTACCCCAACA